TAGTCCACGTTATATCCAAAATAAAGTAAAAATTGTATTAAATTAATTAATTACGATAATTTTCATGAGCCCACTTTGTTACATAAACCTGCATCTATGCAATGTTGAAATGCATAAAAAACTTGGCCATTTAATAATCTGTCAAATGATATGCTATTCAATACTATTATGGATATAAACTAGTAAGAAATTACTAATAAACTACAATAAAACACGGTTTACAGATTTTGTTTTGACACAGTTTTTACTGTTAATAATAATTACTGTATTCATCATGATGTTGGCATACTCTTGATTGGTAAAAAGCTCCATAGTTTAATAAATTTTGAAAAACTCTTAATTGACTTGGAAATACAAAGTTAAAACAGCAAATTACATTGTACAAATTTCATCAGATTGTTCAACAAAACACAACATGGAGTATACAGTAATTAATTATTACTAGGAGTACGCTCCGAAGTCGCGTATGAGAATGAACGAAGACAATTTTGTGTACATATAATCTGTCTTTGGCCCCTCACCCTGCCCCTGCGGCGCGGCGCGCCGCAAGTTTGTGCGGTGGCAGTGGCCAGACTATGATTTTTTTGTACTACGGGCGTAATGCTCTTTTATTGTTGAAATAATTCTAATGCCGCATATATCTATCCAAAAATCAAATATAAATAGCATATAAGCTCTACTTTTGTCTATCATAAATTATAACGTCAGTGGTGTTTGTTCTGTTTTTGACTGGGGATGTTAATCTAAACCTTGGACCTGTTAATTCAAAAGGTAATAATTTTTATAGCCCCAAAACAAAAAGTAACTGGGGTCAGTTTGACACTAAAAATTGTCCAACCTAGGGCCCGTGCCCCTGGGCATTTGCCCCCTTAGCCCCTCACGGTGGTCCTGTAATCATGTGACAGAGAGGTGGCTGTGGACAGAGTGATTAAAAATCATGGGCTGAGTATCACTTCTATAAATTAATAATGAATTATGAACATATTTTTTTAACCTAACGTATTCTATGATGCACAACTAAATTGTGTGTGATACATGGCCAAATAAGTTGAATGTATTGCAATATATTACTGTACAGTACCAAAAACATTAATTGCTCTACTCTGCTTAGTAACGGAGTTGTTACTAAGCTACAACTACTTAGCTAGCGAACTATGAAGGGTTCTTGAGGTTTTGTATTACAAATTACAACAAAACTTTCAGACAATAACACATACGGATCCGTCCAGACCACGCCATGTTATCATCCGAACCGCTAAATGAACCTCAGATTCGTAATTTTAACCTTCTTTTTACAGCCACTTAGGATTCTCACCGACAAAAACCAATTGCATTTTTGGATTCAGCGTGATAGAAACTGTAATTAAACATCTAAAAAGTACATCATATCCCAATGATGGACATACTAAATAATTGCCGTGAAGTATTTTTTTCGGTTAAATACCATACTTAACATTACATATAGGTATTTATCCGATTTACTTAATTTTTTTATTAAAAAATATTCTTTATTTTTCCCCGATGTAGCCTAAACATAAAACTGATTAATGGTCAAACTAATACATGGTTTGTTCGGTTTTTGTTTATATTTCATAAATTAAACTACTGTCTAGGACTATAATTTACCAAAGGAAACAACAAATAGGCCTAGGCCACCTAATAACAAAACGACTAAGGATTAAAAAATAAAATGCTTTGTTAATGTTTTTGTTATTTTTTTATTTATATCATATAGTATCTTAAGAATAACTCAAATTTGATACGATAGTTAAGTTATTTTTGAACCGATTTAACTTATAGTTATGTTAGGTACCTTTTTATAAACTCATGAAAAAGATCAAAGTTAACTTTCCGTAGCCAATGTCTTTTTAAATTTACAGTATCTCTTAAACAAATCATACACAAAAGATTGATGTTGTTTTTTAGAAACGAAACCTTTGTTATTAGGCCTATTAATAAACTAAATAGTAAGCTACACATTGTAAGGAGTAAAGATTATGTAGGCATAAATTGTTCAATATTGAAAGAGACCTAGGCCTACATGATAAATGGATTAAGGTAAGTTGTATCACCTAGAAATGAACTGATTACGATATTTTATAGCCTAAACTTATAAGCTATATCAAACAAATATTTCATCTTATAACATATCGTAAGCTAGGTTCCCTGCGAAACTGCCCCCCTGAAAATGGGTAACTTAACCTAGTAGGCCTACTAAGGACACAGGTCTAGTAGCTAGAAGAAAGTTATACATTACCTTTTTAGGTCTAGGTAGGCTTATTAAGGCCTATTTGCTTGATTGCATTTAAACTAAAATGTCTCCTTAAAAATATCAAATTTAGGCTAATACCTATTTAAATTCAATTAGTTAAAAGAGAACTTAGGTTTCCTGCAACAAGGAGAGTAAAAAAGTGTTTTTGTTGTAAAATGTTAGTAGTTTAGTAAGAAATGAATGTATTTTCAGATATTCAACCATATGCAAAGCACTTTGATCAAAATATGCTCAAAAACAAGCAAACTATCGGTACAACAGTTGAATTAATGAATTATTCTCCATAAGAATGGATAGCTATTTAAAATTTACAATTGTTTGGAATTTCCTCCATACAGTTACTATTAGATGCATGATAACGCTTCATTATACTAAATTATTTTTTTTTTAAGCTCTACAAAATGGTTTGGAAAGAAATTGTAAAATTTTGTGGTAGGTCAAAAATGAGAAAACCTTATTTTTACCTCATAAAACCCCCATAAACCCTTGTTCCTATAGTTAGATCATGCTGGTTTGTGAAAATAAATGTAGGCCTAGCCTAGGTTTACACGTTTATACCAAATTTCATCAAAATTGGATCTTTTATGCTTGTTATTGCTCACCGGTAGGGCCTATAGGTTAGACGTAAGTTATTAAAATTCATCGAACCGAATCATAATTCATATAGCCTATTATTAATTTGATAAAATATCGCAGGTTTTAGCGGAACTCCACCCATGCCTAAGCCTACTAACTTAAATGAGAAATTCTGAGGTTAACTGACTTTTAGAACACTCGTTACATAAGTTTAAACTATTTATAGATTCAGATGAGCTACGAATGCTTTAAACCTAACTTAGGCCTGCATGTAGTAGGCTTTTTATAGAAACTTGACTGCGCAGACAGATAAGTTAGGTCTACCTAACTTAACTCACCATTGGCCTACTTAACCTGGAGTTTCCTAAGTTGAGTTAGGCACAGAAACGGATTGCAAAACACAGACTCCTCGTGGCTGCACTTTACATCCTACACTAATTCGAATGAAAAATATTGATAGGCCTAAGATATAAATTATTCGATTACATCGATTACTGTATTTCATTCGGTTAACGTAGTTAACTCTTACCAAACTTGATATATCGAATGGAATAATCGATAACTTATATCGATCGATATATGCATACAATGAGTGTAGGACGTAAACGAAAGTGCAGCCCTCCTCATGTCTTAGGTAGGCATCTTACAGTCATTTAAGTTAATGTTAAAGTTAACTGTTTTCCTAGAAGCGCGTCGGAAGACGTTGTTAAATCGCCTTTCCGCACTCCGTGCCTAGGAAAACCCGGCTTAAGGCCACAGATAGGCTAACTTATCCAAGTTAAAGGTTAGAATAAATTTATCTATTAACTTAGGCCTACCCTAGATCCTTTCTTTAACTTAAATTAATGGCCAAGGTAAATTAATTGACTGTAGAAAAGGCCAAGGTAGGCTAGGCCTATTACCTTTGATTGCAGGCTACCCTACTTCATAGGGAACACTCTGTCAGTTACACTTGATAGCCTAGTGTAACCAAGTTAAGTTAAATAGGCCTAGCTTATAACTTACCGAATAACGTTAAGTTATAGGCCTAATATTAAATTCAAAATAACACTTGAAATATCATAACTTATCTCAATAATGACGATTAATTTTTGAAACACTTAACCAGACACAGTAATTTAAGTTCCTTCATTGCTTAGTCTCTAATGAGTAATGGTCTCTAACCAATGGCCATGGCTCCCTCAGTTCCTAACCTAGATCTAGTGTTTGCCATTGACAACAGTCACAAAGATAGGTATAAAGTGAATTAACTCACACCCTAACTACGAGGAGTAATATTTGCGGTTTATTCATTAAAATGATTGTATCAAAATGTTAACTCTTTTATTTTACAGCCAACATTAACAACAAATACACCCGACAGAAAGCACTAACAAACAACCGACGATAAGAAAAAAGGAAACTATGTAAATGTAACTTAGCCTATATGTTTGAAAAAAATTACTCTTAAAAAAATCTGATTGGCATAGGCAGAGTGTGCTATAACAATAATATTGAAAATTAATAATATAAAAAGCTCAAGACAATGTTAAAACCACTTATTTTTAGAAACCCATCATGCCACCCAAGTGATAAAGTTCACACATTATTATTATTTTAATTAACAAGCATTCTAAGGACTGTGGTCTTACTTAATTCAAGCCTAGGCCTAATGTACTAATACTAAACATTTGTCAATGACTAAACTAACAACCATAAAAACATAAGTTCAAACATGTGACTACCTAAACATTTTTATCGATTATAATACATTTCGGTGGATATTTTTATATCCCATATTTATTTCCTCCGATAAAATTTTTTTTGAATAATTATAATTTAAAGATTTGTTATGCATAAAACCATTGACTAATATAATATACCTACAGATGTTAAAACTGTTTACTCCATGGATGAAAGAAATAATAGATTTCACTTCGGTCTCTAGAATTCACAACAAAATTGTAGCTCGTAAAATGTAAACAAAAAAAAGAAGAAGAAGGTAGCTCCTAATGTTATTCTTATGGGGGAAAATTAAAGCGAGCGTTTCAGGGCAGGAATTGGACTAGCCTACTGCGCATGCGCAAACCGTAAAATTGAGCTGATCTCAAATGAACGACTCTCACACAATTGAAGCAAAAGAGTTGTTTACTGTTGTTCTGTCATCGACATCTGTTCATCTGTTTGACCCAGCGATTGAAGAACTGTCTAGGCTGTGTGGTAAAAGGCACTTACAAAATAAGTTACCAAGCGGTGTAACTTTCATATTAGAAACCCTTGGGTGAGTTGTATAAAGGCCTAATCTTTAGGTTAAAGGTTGACACATTTAAACCTATAGCCTGTAAACCATTAACTGTTTGGAAAAAAGTCTATGCCGTAGACTAAATATGGTCCTTAAGCCAATTAAATGTGTAGGCTAACTAACTAACATTAAAATAACTTAAGGCCTTGGCTAGGCTTTGCATTACCCTGGCGTAGGGCAAGGCTAGGTTCCGCTATCGATAGATAGGCCTACACTATAGTACCCTACTAGGTTACTATAATATATTGGGTCTCTCATTCTTTGGCAGTTTCCTGTTAAAGGGAACATTCATTATTATCGATGATTACTTTTCAATATAAGCTTATCAATATTTTTGTTTTAACTTACTTCACAATCCGTAGCTTATTCCTTCTGTTATCTTCAAACGCATTTAAATTATCTAGGTACTAATTAAGAAGTAGGCCGGACCTTGTTTAGGTTAACATTTATTGCCTATTTTATTGGATTATAAAATCAAACTAAGCTAAACTAGAAACTATAACATAACTAACCAAACTTGCTGTATAGGCTATGTTACCGTTTCAAAATTCCATTTAATAACAGAAAAGGCATGGGGAATGGCTGTTCAACGGACAGAAAAATAAAATTTCGATATTCGAAATTAAATTATATATAATAATGAATGTTCCCTTTAACAGGAAAGTAGGCTACCCATTCTTTACATTATACCTAGCCTTTATAAAGGCTACTCATACACACATATAGGCTCTAACTTAATAACTTAGAATGCTGTAACCTTTTGAAAGAGGCATTTCCTCGTGCTGTTGTAATAGTCAGATTATTAAAACATCGTTTGTTTAATTTAAATGGCGGTTTGAAATTATTTAGAGTAACATGGCCATGAGAAACATGCTATTTGAAACTCCAACGACAGAAAAATAAACGTTAAGTTTAAAAACTATTAAATTGTAGGCTAGTTATTTGTAGCGCCCAAAACCTGTTGTGCCGTTACCTACTTTTAGGAATAAACAATCTGCCCTCTACCACAGAAAACGTACTACTATAACCCAGAATGCCAACCGCATGGTAAAAAGCATTAAGTGTTTAGAGAGATCTTTGCCAGTCAATCGTAGGCAGCGCCACCAGCGTTGCTATGCTGAGTGCATGGCAACGCTGGTGGCGCTGCCTACGATTGACAGGCAAAGCTCTCTCAAAACACTTAATGCTTTTTACCATGCGGTTGGAATTCTGGGTTATAGTAGTATGTTTTCTGTGCCTCTACTTAGTGATGTAAAAATCACTATAGGCCTACAGGTTGTTATGGTCTTTATTATTATAAAGATCAAAATAACTAGGCCTACAATTTTTTCTTTAGTTGGGGTAATTTTGATGTAACAATACATTCACAGTCTTCATTTTATGCTAGAATGTTCTACTATAAACAATGTAGGCTATTAAGAACTGCAGTAAAGTCCTTTAGAGAACCTGCAATATCAGTACCTTCAATATATATTGGGTGAAATATCAGTTTGTTATACAAATCGTACTTTATATTATTCCCTGCGATATAAATTCCGATTTTTGTTTTGAGTATTAAAGGTATCGTGATATAAATATTTAAAGCCATAGAGTCTTTTCAAATAGACTTTCACACTGTGCTGTGGTAGTTAAACAAGGTTAGTTCAGTTTGGTTTAGTTTATGTTAATAAAAACCAGGTAACACCTAAATAAATACAAATTGTTCCAATAGCATCATCATTGGGTTGGGTTAGTGTTTTCTATCAAAACTTATTGTCAAAAGCGCCAAATTATACCTAGTCGTGTCTTTTCATGAGTAACTTAGCTTATAGAAAAAAGCTAAAAATTTTGTTAATGATACCTTGTTTGTTTATAAACAATAGGCCTACCACTTTCAAAAGAACCTGCACAGAACCATGGCTGTCTCGCGCACGTAGAGGTGAAGGGTGATGGTGGGGAAGGGCCTGGAGCAGTGGTGGGGATAAGTCGTTGGGGCGAGGTGTCTTTCCCCCCACTCTGACTCTCCTGCTGTCCTGCATGCACGACTCAAACAGGTGCGTGGTTTTTTTCTATGTGGTAGGCCTATAAGCTAACATAACCTAAACGCCGCAATGGTCTGTAAAAGATTGGCGGGTGGTCCTCTTTTTAAAAAGACCCATAGCCTAACAGATTAATAAGCAGGCCTATTTCTTAATCAATTTATTTTATATAAATTTGAAGCTATTGTCAGTAGGCCTATTAATTTATAGAAATTGAAAATTTGATAGGATAGAATAATACAATAAAGTTTCTCTGCAGAACTTTACCCCATAACATTGCTGTTGCAGTGCAATGTAATTTTCAGAATCAGTCTTCTTCACTTTGTATTTAGGCTAAGTAAAATTGATTTTCCTTGCTGCATATTAGGGAACATTATTACCATGTTTAATAGCCATGATAAGGTACAGTAGACTCCCTCTTATTCGGACACCTTTTAACCTGACATCGGTTAAACCAGACAACACTCGGTGGAAATTACATCTCTTTAACCGGGCAATTTTTATCAGCACATCGGTTTAACCGGACTAGGTCGGCAGGAAGTGGGAGGTAAGCGTTACTGAAACGACTGTTCTTGTGTTAAGGATATGAGAACAGTGATTACTAGTCTAAATAAAATGCTCTACTACATTTTAGTCAAATACTGTATATACAGTATGCATTTAAACGGTCAGTTTTTATGAGTTTGTGGGACATCAGTTTAAGGTTGTGCTTGGGCTTTTACAATTTTTGTTTTGATACTGAAATTAAGTCAGATATTACTTTAAGTGTAATAATAAACGGCAAAAAAATTAAAAAAAAATTTTTTTGACCAGTTTTTAGTGGTTTTTAGATGTTAAAAATAGCGAACTTCGGACCGGAATTACTGGATCATTGTTTCGTATTTTGTAAATATGTTAAATGTTTCTTACGCTGTTAGATATGCTTAAAGTCATGAGCATAATACAAATTTCATATTGTAAAAAAAAATATATTTTGGTTTTGAAAAACATTTTTTATCTGAGCTCTGTTTGCTTTAGGAAAAATATAAACACGTCAATCTCTTTTAAACAACTTCTATAAAATGTTCCCAAAAAATCTTTTTTTTATTATTAACGGTTTTTCTTAAATTGTGGTACATGTGAATCGAGTTAACCCCTGTATTTTTGGGATACTAACCCGCTACGCAGTCCGCGCTCGGAATTCCCCCACTACCACCACCATACACCTGCAGTGCAGATGTTGCTTTTTGTTTTCGCGCGCTTTTCCATCATCTCAGTGACGAGTGACTGTCACACACACGTGGCACGTGCGGTACACACCATAATCTTTTTTCACAGTGTGTTTAGTTCTATAGCTCTGTAACACTGTGTAAGTTATTTTACTTAGGACAGCTCGTTTTTTATCCGTATACCCAGAATAATGCCTAGAAAGCCGAGGCCACATAAACGAAACAAACGCTCAATAGGTGCAAGGAGATATTTAGCTAATATTAGAAATTCCATGCCTACTGCAACCTCCGTAGCAGAGACAGAAGCCACAACTACGATCCAAGAAGACACCAATGATGACATTTTTGACAGATTGCTCCTTGAGACCAGGTATGATCCAATTTCATATAATTAATGTCTATTTAATTTATAATTATAAATATTTGCCTTCGTATAGTAGGGAATTATACAGTTTTTTATTCGCACTCATGGCAAATACGTTTACTCACTAATTGATTGAAAAAAATGAAATGAAATGAAAAGTGCTTTTATTTACAAATAAATATACAACAATAACTTTTACGCCACACTACATTATTTTGACGAACTTCCCACGCAAGGATTTAGTCCAGAAAACAGCTGTTTGCCACCAGCTTATTCAAATGGGGTTTCATTGCGTAATACTGTGCTGCAATGAGTTTTGCCGGACACCAATCAGCTGATTATACTATAGTTAGGTGACAATGAATGGTTATAAACAAAAACATAACCTCTCTTAGAGGTTATGACTAGTGATTTTTAGTCCTTTAGTTGGTGAAAATATATTAGAATTTGTACAGATTTATTAGTATGGCGTAAACTATCGTACGTAACTCGTCCAAAATGTGTGTACCGGACTCGTATGGTAATCCCGTACTCGACTTCGTCTCGCACGGGAACGACCACACTCGTCCGGTAAACACTTATTTTCAGGACTAGTAACGTAATATACTATTACGCCACACAACATTATTTACGCCACACTACAATATTTTGAAGAACTTCCCACGCAAGGATTTAGTCCAGAAAACAGCTGTTTCCCGCCAGCTTATTCAAATGGGGTTTCATTGCGTAATACTGTTCTGCAATGAGTTTTACTGGACACCAATCAGCTGATTACACTGCATTTGCGTGGCAATGATTGGTTATAAACAAAAACATAACCTCTCTTAGGTTATGACTCGTGATGTTTAGTCCTTTAGTTGGTGGAAATATATAAGGATTTGTACGAATTAAGTAGTATGGCGTAAACTATCGTACGTAACTCGTCCAAAATGTGTGTACCGGACTCGTATGGTTATCCCGTACTCGACTTCGTCTCGCACGGGAACGACCACACTCGTCCGGCAAACACTTATTTTCAGGACTAGTAACGTAATATACTATTTAGCACTAAATACAACAATGGACAAAAAGCTCGCCTGTTGCGGCTGGCGTACCTGGTTAGCACTTGTACAACAATTGACTAACGTTACCACTAATTGATTGCTTATTCACTAGCCTTCGCTGTCGAAAAACTGGGGGTGAATCCAGAATATTTTTTTCTAGGAAATATTATTTTTACTAAATATCATGACACTTATAATTATTACTGTGGTGCTACACAACAACTTTTATTCTCTTATGTTTCGTTGAAATGTGTAATTGGCATAGAATATTCGTACCTATAAAATTGGTGTATAAAATTAATTATTCTATACTGTATATTAACTAATTATAACATATATTTCAATTAGGCTATTACAATATGAAAAATAAATTAAATATAATAAAAAGCGTAAAAGTGTCAGAATAATAATAGGGGATATGAAAAAAGAGGCTATAGCAGTAGCTTTGTATTAGTGTTTTTGAACACCGATTATAAACTAGTAATTGAATTTATTGTTCTATAGGACTGAAGATAATCAACCAATTTTGAATTACAATGAAGATATCTTAGAACATGATTTTGAATCAGACCCGGAACCAGACTGCAGCAAAGATGATCCGCCAAGTCTACTACAACCCCTCATTGTGGAGCCTTATTCGTCGGAAGAATTGAAAAAACTAAGGGAAAATGTAATGAGCGGTAGGAGAATGGTTGATGTTGGCCACATTTTCCGGCAACTACAAGTTATCGCTTCCCACCCTATGAAATGTACAATGGGGAAGTATGAACTGAAAAAGGAAATTAGAAGTGGATTGTTCTGCACCTGGAGTTTTTACTGTGACAACTGTGAAAAGACCTATGTAGTTACCTCATTGCCTGTTGATGAAAAACATAACGACAATGATGCTTTGGTATGGGGAGCAATGTCTATTGGAATCGGCTTCGCTCAATTAGAGGAACTTTTCAGCCTTTTGGACGTTCCTGTAATGTCACAGGAAAAATATATACACCACGAAAAAAAGGTTGGAGATGTAAGTATACTAGCTATAAATTTGTACTAAACTCATATTACAGATAGCCTAAAGCAATTATCATTTGCCGGAATCTAAACATTATTTCGTCATACTGCAGCAAAACTCTATATAGTACTAAGTATCTTTTGAGTATGTTATGAGTTCATCTATAAGGGAATGTATTATTGCAGGCGTGGGAGACTATTCTGGTTCACAAAATGCAACGCAATGCTGAGGAAGAAAAAAAGATCGCACTGGAAAAGGGTAATATATTTCAAGGCAAGCCGTATATCACAGTGATTGGAGATGGAGGATGGGCAAAACGATCCTATGGCCATGGAATGAGCTCTAAAAGTGGAGTGGTAAGCTAAAATTTAACTCTGTAATTTAACTTTCCATTTAAGTTTGATACCGTGTTGTTTACTTTTATATTCTATCCCCCTATACATAGTATATGGAGAAAGTATTGTTTTCCTAAACATTTTCGAGTTTTGGGTTTGAGTGTATATGTCCATTTTGAGTAATTTTTGGGGGATTTGTTTTTCATTTTTGTCATTTTTCCTACAGTTACCTAACAATGTACATGTTCTCTCACTGATTTGTGAAAGCAAAGTGGCCAATTCGCTCATCAGGGAGACAATGTTAACATTGTCTCACTCCAGATTTGCAACTTGAAGGCACGAAATAGTGAGCGCGTAACATGCAGACAAGGTCGTATGCGCGCGAAATACGTTGGCAGCACTGGCTGTAAATCAGCTGGTCAGTTGTTGTACGTATTTGTCACAACCCTTCCGGTCACGGCAGAAGCCACCATTTCATTGATTTGCCATTTGTTTACATTGAAGGTGGTTTTGCTGTCGCAATATAAGTAATTCTTTGGTTAACAATTCTTTAAGGCTGTTTGTGTTCATGTTTAAGGAGATTATTTTTTGTTTTATAATGTTGTTTCTGATTTATTAATGCTACTTTCACATTACATGTCATATTAAAAGATCACTTCTGTGTAAAAATATGTTACGTTTCTTTACCAATTTATTCTTATGAAATTAGAAATTATCCAAATTTAATTTAAACTTTATTAATCCATAAACAAGTAAACTAGAATTTTTAATTTAACCGGTCCTAGTACGGGTATGGAGAGCAGCGTCATCGTTGAAGGTTTCAAGAGAAGTGAAGAGGACTACGGTCTCATATACAAGTACTACATTGGAGACGGTGATTCTAGCGTTTTTGCTCGAATTCAAGAAGGATGCCAATACGGAAGATTTGTGCAAAAAATTGAATGCGCGAATCATGTCACACGAGCTTTGAGTGACAATTTGCACAAGGTAGCCGAAAATACGCAGTACCCTCTACAATCTCGGCAACTTCTAAGCAAGCCGGCTCCAAACGAATCCATTACAAGACTTGAGCGGATTGTAAAAGGGGTCAGGACCGCAATAAAAACATGCGGATCCAGTACAAGTACGACAAATGTGCCAAAACTTAGACAGGCCATCACAAACTCACTGGACCATGTGTTTGGAAACCATGAACGATGTGAAGAATTTTGCGTAAGAAAGGAATCAGGGGAAGAAAATGTAATAATGCAACTAGATCATGATTTTCTAAACAAATTAAGGACCGTCATTGGTAATGTTGCGAGCAAATGTCAAAGTCTTGTTTTCAATGAAACCACCAATCTTGCCGAGCGGTATATGGGGTATGTTGCAAAGTTTACTGGGGGCAAAAGACTGAATCTAACCACAGGTGGTTCCTACCAGCGGAGATGTATGGGTGCAGCCTTGGCACACTCTTCAGGGCCGAGCTGGCACCTTAGTCCCTGGAGGAAGTTTTCATCTAGAAGTCCAGGATCTTACTTCAAGAGGAAAATACTGATGAGAGAAAAGAGAAACTACCGGAGACGCTTGTACCTGGAAAAAAAACCACCTAAACGAAAACGCCGTCAAGGTATGTTGATAAAAAGCACAAAGTTATTTTCTTATAAGGTACTGATATCATTGTTTGTACATGATAAAGTCTTTAGGTGTGATTATACACACACACTTACGGTATATTTGTAAAGTTAAACTATATCAGCAATCTGACACATACTTTCTCCCATTGCCTTGCTAAAACCCCTTATGATGGGAAAGCGGTGGGAGAATTTATGGTATATTTTTGGTTAAAATCACAAAAGCTGCAACAAATATAGAACTCTAATTTTCACAGCAATTGGGGTAGTACTATTATAGCTAGGACTGTAACTACGAAAAAATACTAAACATGAATAAAAATCACTTAAACTTCTAATCAAACATACGATTTTATTTTTATTTTATGATTTTTAATGGGGAAAGCCCACAAGTTACAATAAAGATTGACCCGTAATTTTTGCAGTAGTGTGGTTTTTTCTAGTAGGACGAAATAAAAGTGAATTTAAAATTGTTCCCTGATATTTTAAACAATGTTTGTCAGAAGAAACTTTAGTTGTTCTCCTTCTGACATAATATTGCGGTTGTTGCTTCAGGTGGTGGTGAGTATGACAGCGAGTATGGACCTTTGGCTGTAAACCCCGACATCGAGGAGTCTGAGATGGTCTCAAAATGCTCAACCTTCCTTGACGAACTTCGGAAAGACGTTCATTCTGGAAATAATAATATTGAGCGCTCCACCATAGGCCAACACACAAATCCGCTTTGGAGAGAGAAGAGGATAAACCGGCTCACAGCTTCCCGGTTTGGATCTGTGGCAAAAAGGAAACCCCATACAGATTGCCACAACATGGTTAAATCGATCCTCATACAAAGACAACTAAACACTGACGCTGTCGCATACGGTATGAATACATTAATTCCGTAGCATCTCCTGTATAACTAATAAATAACAATTACAAAACAATGTTCAACAAATAACCAACATTACACCATTCCACTTCCATTGCAAATCCATTCCATTGTCCATTCTCTACTTTTACACAAACAGAAATATTATTTTACAAATAATCACATATTCCATATTTAAATTTAAAGATAACAACCAATTTATAATTTTTATAAATTCACGCAATACTATAGAACTTTGAGCTTTTAGTCGGGTAAATATAGGATATGACCTTAAAAAAATTGCAAGAAAACGTTTTATGGTTTTATTTTGTAGAGTTGGGTTTGCAGAATGACATACTAAAAGTTGCCAAAAATCGGTGCACGAGAAAACCACTAAAATCACAATTTAAAATGGCGGCTTTTTTCAACATTGGACAAATTAAAAAACATATTTCACATGTATTTGTTATGCACATTTTTCAAGATATTGACTTGGGACCACCACCTGTATTTATTGAGTGGTTAGTACTTCATTTTGATAGGGAACATGTTTTTGGCCGCCATCTTGGATCCGCCATATTGGACATAGATAATTTTTTTCAATGTAATGATAGTGTTGTTACACATCATTACCAACTACATTTTTACACTGATTTCAATGCTGAAGTCCGTTTTTAAATATCTTTATTCATTTAGAAGATATATACAAAAGAAAACTCTGCACCATACATTTCTTATGGACGTTTCGTAGTTTGATATTTTTTTTTAAATAATTTTTCTTATATCTCCAGTTCTTATTAACGCTTGTAGTTCGTTCTAGGCTTAAAATATTCAGTAATGTAAGGGCTTTCATTTGAGCTCTTGATCATTAAAATCAGACGAGTTAAAGACCTGCTACGAACCTCAGAACAATATTAAATTTAACTTTTTAGAAATATATTTTTATTAAAAGATTTATAACTCGGGTTGTTAATACGTCACTGAGTTTTTTCTGGTCTCAAATTACTCAGTAAATGTTTGGCTTTAATGTTATTGATCATTAAACAAAATCTGACAATTTTAAAATGAACCATGGACCATAATTTAACATTAGAATGTATTTATATTGAAATTTGTCTTTAGTTAAAGACGTATATTCCTAATTCTAAATAACTCCCAAAACTCTTTATAGTCTTAAATAATTCGCCAAAATATTGACTTTTATTTTAGCTATGGATTACTTTCCAGGAGTTATTAGGGTTTGGGATATATGTCCTTAACTAAAGACAAATTTCAAAATAAATACATTTTAATGTTAAATTATGGTCCATGGCTCATTTTAAAATTGTCAGATTTTGTTTAGTGATTAATAAAATCAAAGCTAAACATTCACTGAGTAATTTGAGACAAGAAAGAACTTGGTGACGTATTAACAACCCGAGTTATAAATATTTTAATAAAAATATATTTCTAAAAAGTTAAATTTAATATTGTTCTGAGGTTCGTAGCAGGTCTTTAACTCATCTGATTTTAATGATCAAGAGCTCAAATGAAAGCCCTTACATTACTGAATATTTTAAGCCTAGAACGAACTACAAGCGTTAATAAGAACTGGGGATATAAGAAAAATAATTTTAAAAAAAATATCAAACTACGAAACGTCCATAAGAAATGTATGGTGCAGAGTTTTCTTTTGTATATATCTTCTAAATGAATAAAGATATTTAAAAACGGATTTCGGCATTGAAATCAGTGTAAAAATTTAGTTGGTAATGATGTGTCACAACACTATCATTACATTGAAAAAAAAATATCTATGTCCAATATGGCGGATCCAAGATGGCGGCCAAAAACATGTTCCCTATCAAAATGAAGTACTAACCACTCAATAAATACAGGTGGTGGTCCCAAGTCAATATCTCGAAAAATGTGCATAGCAAATGCATGTGAAATATGTTTTTTTAATTTGTCCAATGTTGAAAAAAGCCGCCATTTTAAATTGTGATTTTAGTGGTTTTCTCGTGCACCGATTTTTGGCAACTTTTAGTATGTCATTCTGCAAACCCAACTCTACAAAATAAAACCATAAAACGTTTTCTTGCAATTTTTTTAACGGTCCCTATGTAAGTTTGTTTAGTTTGCCTGGACTATTTAACGAGTTTTCAAAAACTAAGTAAGTTTATTTGTATATACATAGACATACCATAAGACGACAAAGAAATAAATTATGGCATGATATTAAAATTGTATGTCAGTACGTTATATGCCAAGTATATTCAATCACTGATACATACTAATATTACTCATATTAATGATAAAAACCAAAAAAGTTGTATAATGTTGACGATGACCGATAATGCTACTAGTCAAATCCCTAAGATTTACCCATTGTTACAGGCCGAGACAATGAAGAGCGAGTTGTTCAAATGTACGAAGAAAGAACTGGACTAAAGGTCGACCGGTGTGGCCTATTCATAGATGAAACTTACCCATTTTTAGGGGCTAGCCCAGATGGATTAGTGGAAAGCGAAGGCCTGATAGAAGTCAAATGTCTATATTCAATTAAGGACACTTCTATCGAAGACCACTTGAAAAGTAACAAAACCACATGTATTGAACTTGTCAGCGGAAAGCTTCGACTAAAAAAAGTCACGACTACTATTTTCAAATTCAAGGTCAGTTGAACATTGCCAAAAGAAAGTGGTGTGACTTCGTAGTTTTCACCAGAAAAGGAGAGTTGTTTGTTGAGAGGATTGTTATTGATGAGGAATTCTGGGCAAAAGTACTACCTAAATTAGTACAGTTCTACCAGGAATGCATTTTGCCGGAAATCATCGACAGTCGCCTAGTTAGAAATTTGAGGATAAGGAATCCCCCCTCCATCATTGAGGCCCAGCAACGATTGAAAAACCGACCTAAAAGAGGGAAAAAAGTTCAGGGTTGCCACCAGCCATGAAAACCTTGAAAAGCGTGAATTATGCGTGAATTTAGGTGACCATGAAAAAGTGCGTGAATTATGCGTGAATTTCGTCATTGGACCATGAATTCTCAAAATCATTATTAACAATTCAGCCAAAACCCCTAAATGTGCTGAATCAAATACTCCGTATTAAAACCATTCTCGAAATGAACACCGAGATAAAACGTCAAAGTGGGAGTGTCGAGATAAAAAGTTTTGTTGCCATGGCACGAACAGAAACGATTGCGTAGTTTATTCAAGGTCAAATCCGATCGCAACCGACGTCAGCCGAGTAGTCTAGAGATGGGAATTATCGTTGTTGTCCGGCAACGGTTATAACGATAACGCAGCTGCCCAATAACGTATTGCGGCAACCTGTTATTTCAATAACGATTGCCAGCTCGTTGCCGCTATAAACCGTTGTCCGCCGGTCGGTGTTGCTGTTGCGGCGTTCAGTTATCATTGTCGGTTGATCAGTTCAGTTTTCAGTTGTAATCGGGACTCGGGAGTCGGGCGTTGCCGCGTTGTCCAGACAGGATGCGTTATTCTAGTTCGTTTCAGAAGTTATCGTTGCTCTGGTCTGGTAGCGTTGCGGCAACGGCACTAATGGCAATGCATGTTTTCGTTTTCGTTGTCGCGCGGCTTTCCTGCAACATTGTGTAGATAGATACGTTATTATAATAACAGGGAGTTCTCTGCAACGTGTTGCCGCGATAACGTTGCCGTGGCCGCAACACTGTTATTCATCCTGTTATTCCTGTTATGTTATAACGCCCATCTCTACCACCGAGTTATTGTCTGTGCGAGTACCGATCTACCGATAAAATCGATGCTTTCGGAGCTAAAACATCGATCACATCGATGTTTGTTCCGAGTTTCTCGTCTGTTGTCTGTTCTCTGCACTGTAACAGCCAATTAACCTAAAACCAATACAATTCAGTTACGGAAAACATCAATATTTCATATTTCATTACTTTTGTTGGCCTAAAAGACCGATGTAACAAACCAAATCATCGGTTCGGTAATCTACCATCGATGTAAACAAATAACTTCGAACATCGATAGAAAAGACATCGATGTTTCGAAAACATCGACAATCGGAATTGATGCTCGCTCTCATTCTCTACTCTCTACTCTAGTGTCTAGTCTAGTGTTCGTGTGGAAGGAAATACAGAGTAACCATAACCTAAAAGTTTTAAACTGATCTGAAACAGGGCGGGTTTCTGAGTCAGGGATTTATAAGTCCAGAACTAGGCTAGTCATGGATTAAAATTAGTCATGTACTAAAAATTCACTTTCTGAGTCAAGGATTAAGGACACACGGACTAATTTAACGCGGGTACTTAGTTTAGTCGGAGATTAAAAGAGCTCATGATTTTCAAGGGAAATGTGGGGTTATTTGTGCCGCCGTGCTGGCAACACTGTCAGTTTGACGTGCGTGCACTCTGCTCTGAAGAAGTGAAGAAGTAAACAAACAACGATCTCGATCTCAGTCAAACCTTGGTTTTAAAGCTTATTTCTGTTTTTATTCATTTATCATTGTAATATATTCTATTATTGTTATAAACTAGTTGTATCATAAAATTTTAAAGGCGTTTTAAAGGTGGGATTGGTGTTTCATCCCATTTCTTTTAAATAAGTTACCTACATAACAGTTCTTGGGCATCTGCTCAGCTTCCAGCTTTGTTTTTTGGACTGTGGTAAGACCTTGCTTAAACAAGTTATGAACACAAGTTATCTAGTTAGAGGATAATTAATATTAAGTTAGATGTTATCCTGATATGCTCAATGATATACTTGTCATTTCAAATAGTTAAAACATTGGGCAACACCCTATACTAACCTAGGCCTAGAGCCAAGGCATACTCCAGGCTACATTGGGCAACACCCTATACTGACCTAGGCCTAGAGCCAAGGCATACTCCAGGCTACATTAGGTCAAGGACATTCATTGTGGGTTTTGGGTACAGCTAAGTTGAGCAATGGTGTACTAATACAGCATCTAGAATAGTTTGGGCTGCACTTCACTTTGCGTCCTAGGCTGCACTTTACTTGACGTCCTACACTCATTCGATTGGTTTTTTCGATTCGATATTTTCATTCGATTCTTTCATTCGATATATCGTTTGGTTAGTTAGGTTAGGTTAACCTTACCTAACTAACCAAACGATATATCGAACGAATGAAGCAATCGATTAATCGATATATCGATCGATATTTTCATTCGAATGAGTGTAGGACGTCAAGTAAAGTGCAGCCGCGTCCTATACTCATTCAAATGAAAATATCGATTATTCGATTGTTTCATTCGATAAGATCGTTTGGTTAGTTAGGTTAACCTTACCTAACTAACCAAACGATATAACTTATCAAATAGGCCTAATCGATATATCGATCGATATTTTCATTCGGATGAGTGTAGGATGTAAAGCAAGTGCAGCCATAGTTTGAATAACTTAGGCTTTTTGCAATAATGTTCAGGTAAACTCAACAGGGAGTAAACTTATAATTTACCGGTAGTAACTTACTGGCTACCCTAGCCTATTTAAAAAAATTAGGATAACCTAAACCGAAACTAACTAACCAAACGATATATAAAATTAAATAGGCCTAACCGAAACATCAAATAACTTAATCGATTGTTTAATTCGGTTGTTCAACCGAACCTGTTGTTGTTGTTGCACAACCTATCCGTAATCTGGGCACGTTGTCTATAGTAAGCCTCGTCGACAAAAAAGTCATTTTTGAGAAGTTATGAAAGTTTTATAGTATTGGTGTCTAGGAACAGTTTAAAAATGTCTTAGGCTTACTTAAGTTATAAACTTAGGACGTTTTAGGTGAGCTGGGAAAAGTAAATATTTACCCCATGGGTAACTTTAGCCTACAATTGCGAAGACTTCTCGTGGAAACCTAAAACAATTGTAGTTTTTAATCCAACTTAAAGTTACCGGTACCTCAGAAATTTTATAAAAAATAGTCTAGGCTATTTTAGTTTGTGGCCTCAATAAGATTTAAGCCTTAAGAAGTACTACGGTATGTAAGTTAATAACTTAAGCCAAGTTAAGAAACAACCTTTGATTTGGATAAATAATCATTTTAATGGAATCTTAAGTTTAAATATTTGGCTTTCTCCCTCAAAAGATAACTCGATTGATGAAATATAACTGGCTAGTAAACTTACTACTTAAAATTTGTGCCTGAGTAGCATAAAAGTCTAGGGCTTATGAAGCTGTCTTAACGTTACAAAATGCTTAAAGTATAGCCTGTAGGCCTATAGTGGACCATGAGACGAGACCTTACCGTCAGATCGCCACCGCCCACCACCGTGCCGTGCAGAACGCATCATACCGTGCATAGCCGAACTGTTCATGGGAAATTGTTAGCTCTATCACTGTAACTGTCAAAACGTGTCGTTTGTAGGCTAAATTTAAATTAATTTAACTATCATAACCTAACCAAACCAACCAAACTTGCTGACAATGAAAAAAATCGAGTCAAAAAGTTAATGCCTGCGGTGGGTTTTGAACCGGCTACCTCCAAATTATTAACCCGGTGCGCTATCCACTACACCACCGAGACTTACGGCTGTTCTACGTATCGTTGTGGTAATGGTGTTCGCTCGAGCAGTGGTGGTGGGCGGTGGCGGTCTGTCGGCAAGGGTTAATAGGCTACAAATTTCATGCTACCAGATTGTATAAACATTAGGCCTAAAATATTGTTTTTTTATTGGATGATGTTTTAAAGTTAAATCATCATTTGGCTTTAGGTTATATTGACTTTTAAGGAGGGAGGGCTACAATATCTTTCAGTTTTCATTGTCTCAACAAGACTGAGGTTTTTTCCTTCGTAGGGGGGCCAATTTTATAAGAATGGTCAGTTTTATAAAAGTGTTTGTATTCATCTATCAAGCTATTTAGCATAATACTTGGGTTGTAAAGGAAATGGCCACCTTTTTGTTTGGGCCAAAAAATAGTAGACATTCTGTGATGTACCGCCAAACGTTTTCCTGTAGAATTTATGTTAACAAACATGTTTAAGATGCATGTCTTAACTGCATTTATAAGAAAGTGTATATCAACAAAGTTTCTAAATTTGTTTTAAAACTACAATATGATGTTAGTCGCATGTTTTAACTGCATGTCTTAACCGCATGTTTTAACTGCATGTTGTAACTGCATGTTTTGTTTTGTAGGTATTTTATCCGTTGTTTTATAAATAGTTAAGCTAAATTGCATCATGGCCTCATCAGATGAGACTAAAAAAATTTCAAGAAACAGAGGGCCAAAATTTTCATGTCAGGAATTAAATATCCTGACCAGACTGATTAATGAAAATCCTGTCATAGAAAAAAAACAGCATGACAAAAACAATGAGTACTTAAAAAAGTGTTCCTGGATTAAAATCCATGAAAAATTCAACATGGAATTTGAGACCACCTCAAGAACACTGGAACAGCTCAAGAATGCCTGGAAGAGAATGAAGGGTGCACGAAAAAGAGAGTTGGCAGTTGAAAGGCGGCAAAAGTTTGCTACAGGAGGTGGACCCCCCCCTCCCAGTGTCCCCGAGGATGACACAAAGAAGATACTGGATGGCATTCTCTCAAACCAAACCCCCCTGTCTCGCATCCCTGATGATGATGACATAGGTGAACGTTACTTTTAATAATATTCCATTGATTAACCAACCACCACACAACAAAACACACAAAATTTGAATCCAAAAGGAATTTTATTCATAACTACGTGGCGTTCCTAGAGGCATCAACAAAATTGAGCGGAGTCATCAAGGGTTCATATTATATATTGTTTTTTGTCATACTGCAGTAAAATCAGTCGTTTTGAATGCATGAGTTGTGGGTCTAAAGTAGTATCTTTACTCTCTAGGGCGTAAAAATCGTTTTTAGCCTCTATGGAGTAAAAATCAGTTGTCAACTCAGTTGTAAATTTTGATTGTAAACGATTGCATGTATCGAAAAAAATGTATCGATTCGTGCTTCGTAATCATTTTAACCTACACAGTCTACAGTCTCTTCCAATAGCATTTTAGGATTGCAGATACCTCAATTTAATCGTCATAAACAGTTCCCACACCCCGGACAGCTCGCCTTGACTTCTTCCTTCACCACTTCCAACAAATAACAAACCTAAAAATGATTTACACTTACATAACACTCACCCTTCAATCTTGAAGTTACTCTCCACTTTCATAAGGGAGGTTTGAGTCTCTAAAGTCGACACGGTTGTACATGCAGTAATTAGATAAAACCACTGTACCGGTACTTTGGCATTTAATATAATTTTTTTTATTGTTACTTTTTACTATTTAAAGGGTTATTTGTATAAAAAAACAATATATACAAAATATTATGATTCACATATTTTATTTTATTTTTTTTATTTTAGGGTACTGTATAGCAAACTAGAAAAAAAAATTAAAGTTTGAAAAAGACCAACACAATTTTTTCTCTAATTTTGAATATAACATTGTAAGTTCACAATAAAATGAAGAAATGGGATGTTAACAGATTATTGGGATTTTTGTTTTAATAATTTGTTATCATGTTATGTAATGTAGTGTGGTATTATGCCAGCCATCAAAGGTTTTTTTCTTTGCTTCTATTGTATTGAACCATTACATCCTTTCTAATCCATGTTATTCCTTCTTTATTTTCCTTTAGATTCCCTGGAAAATTGTCACTATTCATTAGAAGAGGAAACCCTCAGTGCCCATTTGGACTCACCCCTCCAACAAACAACCCCTCCTCCATCTACTTCTTGGAATACTTTCCCTGCTGAAATTTCTTCCGAAACTCCAAGTTTAGCACCACCAAACCCCTCGTATTCACCAAAAAGTGGTGTTAAAAAAAATAAAACCCCAAAAAAAATTTCTACCTTTGCCAAACAATTTCATGACCGGAAAATGGCCTATCTGAAAGAAGAACACGATCTTAAGATGCAGGTATTGCATGAAGAGCTCTTGTACTGGCAGGAAATGAGAGAGAAAAACCAACAACAAGTTGTTCTCTACCAGGGAGATGTAGAACTCTAGAAATTGATGTGTGCTACCCCTGCTACCTTGTTTCTTTTGCTTGTGATATTTATATCTTTTTCAATTTATTCTTTTTGTTTTGTCTCAAGTACCAATTTGAACAGTAGTTAAAAATTATTATGCATGAAATAGTTTCTGTATGCATGTAAATAACAAATGTAAGAGCATGTAAATAGTTGTATGGTAAACCTAAGGTTGGAGGATCGACCTGAAGCATGTCTCGGGTGTTACTAGTGTTATTATTATTTTGTGTTGTCTGCTTCTTTGTGTGTTTTTGTTGTATTTGTTAAAATCTTAAACAATATAGGTACAATCTTTGAACCACATAAACAGGTTTTTGTAAAAAAAAAAAACAAAAAAAAACTGTATTTAATTAAAAGTGTCTGTCAGCAATTTTTCTTTTTTACTTAGTCAATTATAATAAATTGTAATATAATAAATTTATATATCAACACAGTTATAAAGTGTTCTTTAAAATTAATTTGGTTATAAGTAAGTTTTCCTGTGTTTGAAATAACAAGTAACTATTGACATATCTATTTAATAAAATGATTTGCCATTCTTTGCCTCTAACACTTTGTAATCTTTCCACAATATTCCTTCTAGTCTAGAACTATTCTATGTTAAATAACAGAACGATATACAATTACATAAGGTATTTTATTGAAACAAAACTAACAGACAGGTAACAAAATTTAAAAGGCTACAAATAAAGGACTTACAATGAAATGTGGGCTTACAATAAAGTAGAAGATTAGTTTGAAATTTATGCCTAATAGGTTCAAATTTACAATAGTCTAATTTAAATGGGCTCTATCTCAGCGTAGGGGGGAGGATTTAATAATGTGCAAATCATTTAATTGTTTAACTTACAACATTCCAACTATGAAAATCAAATTTTGAGGTTCGCCAAAAGGTAAGTTCAAATGTGCACTAAATTTGTTAAGTTAGTAATGAATAATAACTGAGTTCAAACATAAGTTTATACATGAAAAAAAGGCTATGGAATGGATATTATTCATGATTAATTGAGCATAGATTAATGGAATTGTATAAATAAGTTAAATTAAAGCAAGGCTAGCCCTATCATTATCTGGATCTGGATGACTTTCTGATGAGTGATTTAAGATAAGGAAATTATAAAGTGGTGTATAAACAAAATTAACATATTTTAAGAAACTTAATACTAAATGATGAATGTATGAAATGAAATATTACAACTTTTATGAGAAAAATGTCTCTGGATGAGGTATGCACAAGAAACAACCCTAAACTATGTACAAATCTATTTACAAACTATTTACAACTCTATTTATAACATAGAATGGTTTTCGACTCTTTGTCTCCTGCCTCGCACACTTTACGAGAAATGTCGCTGGATGAGATCTGCACGAGAAGCAACCCCATCTTCTCTGGCAGCTACTTCCCCTTCCTCACCACCTGCCTCTTCTGCAATCTCATTGTCGACTTGCCACTGCTCTTTCTTAATTCCAAAGTTGTGGAGCACTGCACAGGCTACAATGATGGTGCAGCAGCGCTGTGGTGAAAACCTCAAAGTGTTTTCTGTGTGGATACACCTGCCAACACATTAATTCAAATCAGTTGCTTTGTCCATAATAGAGTGTAGTAGGTATAAAGCCAAAGGCAGTAGCCTAATATAATCCTAACATTTTGTCCAACAATTTAGATAACATTATTTAATATTTTTATACTGTATTGGTTATTTTATTGGTAGGCTATTAAAACTAAGAGATACGTAACAAATAGCATGTACATGGATATTTTGATGGGTCAAAGGTTTGAATGGCACTGCAGCATTGTGCATGCTATTATGAAATCATAGTCATAATTTATAGCAACAGTCCATTACCTAAATCGGTTTTTCCAGACTCCAAAAGTCCTCTCCACAATGCTTCTGCTACTTTTGATGGACCTTTGGTATCGCACTTGAGCTGGTGTAACAGGGTTTGCCAAAGGAGTCATCAGAAATCTGTGAAAAGTCAATGAAGTTTAAATAACATAAACATTTTATTTAAATAGATTCCAAATATAAAGTATTGGTTCAATTTTAATCATTTTTTTTATCAAGAAAAAACAACTCTTGTCAAATAAGATTAAGCTAGGTACTGTATGTGTGATTCAAGAAAAATTCATAGGCAATTATTATATTTTCTTGGTAGTGTTTGAAGAGAATCTATTTTTAAAATGTTTTCTCATAGATTTTGATGACATCGAGTAGGTAATGGTAAGTTACAGCACATTAATGAGAAACATATTTGTACAGGTGGATAGTTGATGATCTTCTCATTATTTTGTCCATATAATAAACCTGAAATGGTGAAGGGACCCATGGTTTTCTTTTTAGTTATCATATATGTATTCCAATCCAGAACAAGCAGAAATGCAGGCAAGCTGACAAGAAATTAATTTTAACATCAGCAAAATGCTCCATTAGAGTTACCTACATTGTCTGCCAATAAGATAACATGATGTAGTGCTCTTGTAATGAGTTGCATGGTTGGTCCACACCTTGACAGTTGAAGACTAAATAATAAAAAAATCTGCCCCACAAATGGCAATACATTTTCAAAATATAATGAATAAAGTGAGATAGGATTTAATTTATGAAGGAAATAAATAGTTATGAAATAAATTAGGCTATACATAAAAAAAAACAATATTTATATATAGCTACAAAAATATTACCAATCGGGCCTATCTAAAATAATTCAAGATAATTGTTTACTTTAGGGGCTTCTAACGAATTTTGAAAAAAAATGTTTTTTTCTCATTATTTGGCCTATTTTGAACACTTTTTACATTTGGCATTTTTGGGGCAAACGCCTATTCCACCCTGAAAATCGCGTTTGAAAATTGCAAAAAGTGCTAAAAATTTGTGTAGTTTTTTTTTCTCTTAACTTAATGTGTTTTTACTATTACTAAGGACCTACAGAACTAAATATAATCCAACCTAACCTAACCCAACCCTACCTAACCAATGCTTAGGTTAGCAATATGCCGAAAATAGCGGATTATTAGTTAAACCAAGGTTAGATTACGTTAGGTTAGTTAAGGTTAGGTAAGGTATGGCTAGTTATTAAGTTATTATTTAAATCAATTAGCCTAAAATCACCTGAATATTTTAAATCTAACTTAACCTAACCTAACTTAACCTTATGTAAACTAACCTAACCATATTTTAACTAACCTAACCTAACTTGACCTAACCTAACCTAACTTAACCTAACCCAATCCTACCTAACCTAACCCAACCCTACCTAACCAATGCTTAGGTTAGCAATATGCCGAAAATAGCGGATTTTTAGTTAAACCAAGGTTAGGTTAGGTTAGTTTAAATATACATCTGCTTATTACTACAATAATAAAAACACATTTAAAAGAAAGGCAAGGGGGGGGGAAACCTGATTTTCTAAGTATAAATGGCAATTGCTGAAAAATTTACGCGATTTTCAGGGTGAAATAGGCGTTTGCCCCAAAAGTGTCAAATGTAAAAAGTGTTCAAAATAGGCCAAATAATGAGAAAAAACATTTTTTTTTTCAAAATTCGTTAGAAGGGGAATGTTGCTGGAAGTCAACAGTCCCGGAAGATCAAATAATTTATACCTGTGCCGCTAGGTCAAAAACTACAATGTTTGCAGTGTCTGTAGATCAAAAGTCCCAGTAAGTCAAATAATACAGTCCGAGCTAAAAACGTGGTCTATGTTAAAGCAATTGACTTATTGGGAATTTGACCTAATGCAACAGCAGTTTTAATATAACGAAATACGGTAAAATACAAGTTCAGTTTCGCTGAGTCAACAGTGCCGGAAGATCAAAAGCAATAAAAGTGAACGTCGATTCAGTGTAAAGTAGACCTCCTGCAACGCTTACTACACCAACAAAACTCGCTTTTAGTTACTTCGTGTTTTGTCATAATTAGAATAGAGCTAAAATTGTCATATTTGGTACATAGCTTATCTGTTAATGCTTCTTGCCAACTGTTTGGTCAACACTGTAAATGGGTATAGCCTTTCGTCAAAATTTGTGACATAAAATACCCGCAAGGACGATCTGAAAATTTCTGGTTATTATATACGTTTGTAAAAGGAGATCCATTTAATTGTAGAACTATTTTATGAGTTATAATGTAGTCTACATATAAACTGTGTAAATGTATTACGCTTTCGAAGGGTTGAAACCTGTCCAAACAATCATATATATTATTAAAACGTAAATGGGGGTTTTACACGATTCTGAATCAACCAGACGATGGATTTTCATTAGTTTTGTGTTGAAAGAAAGACAATTTTGAGAACTAGGGAATTTCAAAGCTATAATTTAAAATTAGTGTCCCAGTTTTTTTATAAATTAAGTTTTAGTTTTTAACAAGTCTAGCAGCCGATGCTAACCTTCTCCAATAAGTCAATGCTTCTAGCTAGCTTTTAGTACAATATAATTTGCAGCTGTAACATTCAGCATTTGTGACACAAATTCAGTATTTGGAAGAAAATTCAAATACATACTTATGGTTGTCTTATTTATACTATGTGTAATGCTGACCATTGATACATTTAATTCTTCGGTACGAGGATGGCAGATTAATTAAATATGCATAGTAAAATACAGTAGTAGGATGTTCAAATTATTTTTTAAAGTATTCTTTGTAATCATCGATTTGTTTTAATCCAATATAATTTGTTTTAACTAACAGCTGGTTGAATGTGCTATGTATACTTATAAAAGGCAAAGCCCTCACTGACACACTCACTCTCACTCACTCATCATCACTAATTCTCCCACTTCCCATTTACCTAGGAGGCTGAAATTCGATACACCGATTCTTTGGGCATTAAATAGGAAAACTGAGTAATTTTTATTATGATAGGGCATTCGAGCTTCGCCCCAGTGGCTCTGGAGTTTCCCATGTTAACCTTATGATTTTTCATATTTAAAAGGAATTAATGAATCTTAACAGCTGTGTCAATTAAACAATTTATGACAACAGCTAATTTGAAACCAAAAGCTGAGTGAGCGTTTCGAACGAACTTAAACCTGGAGGCGAGTTAACCCCAAGGCAAGTGAGCTCAGCGAACGAGCTCCAACCTAAAGGTGAGTGAGCGTAGCGAACGAAATTCAGCCAGGACGTGATTGAGCCATGCGAACGAGCTCATCTTGAAAATTAATTAGTTAAACGGGGCAAAGCCAGCGGGTACAGCTAGTTATTCTATAGAATTATTAGGTTTTTAGCGAATTTCACATATAGGGAATAAGCTATTACCGTAGTACTCATGGCAACACCTGGACCCGGGACCGATGTAATTTTTCGTTTTGAGTCCCTAGAGGCCAAAAACACCATACGTTCAAATTCATATATATGTAAGTGTATAAGACATTTTGGGGACTTGACTTTTTCGGGTCTCAAGAATTTATACGAATATACACTATTGCAATATTTTGAGGACTTGAATTTCTGGGCACTTGACTTTTTCGGGACTCAAGAATTTAGTACTTTTCGAGGACCTGTGCAAATTATTCCATTCCAAATGCAGCGCGTTATCGATCTTCACCCTTGTGTGGGCCTCCCATTCACTGACGGAATGTCTCGTGGCGTATGACGACCGGATATAAATAGTCACTTTACACTCACTTATCTCGTTATTTTTTCAGCATATTCGTTGACCCGTCTGCAGGTCTTATGTTGACGGGCTGTCAGAGCGTCTGTTGCAATAACTGGAATTCCTTATGTATGTTTGCTGCTGATTACGGTGAAGTATTGTGAGAAATTCCACCTAATCTTTAAAGTTACCCATTAAATTCATAGAAATAATAATATTTAACTGTTTGACGAGTACCCCTATTGTATTCAAAGTACTAAACGGCCCAACCCAATCAGAGCATATTTTAAGGGATTTCCACTGGGCGACAGTGGCGCCGGACTTTACCGGGGGTCTGGGGGGAATACCCCTATCAAAAAGGGAGGCCCGAGGGTTCCCCCTGGAATTTTTGCAGAAATTAAAGTGAAAATCAAACATTTCTACGTATATTATAATGAATTTTTTATTATATTCGCTTGCAAATAGTCAATTTAATCTCACTTAATTAAGTATTATAGAACGTTGTAACAGGCCAAGGCTCACTTCACAACCTATTGGGCCAAAATCATAGCTCATTACCCTACTCTTAAAGATTTACATAATGTTACTTTTTAAATTCCGATAAATTTAAAATGTGGATCATTTTAAAAAATATGACGGCACCACCCATAGTCACTGGGCGACAAAATCTCAGAACTGGGTGACACTTGTGTCGCCCAGTTAACATGCTATTTTATGCCCTGAACCCAATATTTAATACAAGCCAAAGGTGTCTTATAGATTCCGAGTAAATTATTATAAACTATCAAATGGAGCATGTAAAGTGCATTATAAATAATCAACAAACCCTAACATAATTGACTATTGATTCAGTTACTGATTCGGGAATTACAATTGCTGATGATAACTGAATGCTCTGACCTGCTGTGTTCTTCTTTACTTCTTTACCTATAAAACACATGGGATACAGCCTTTCTTCACTGATCACGTAATGCGTGATTTTCTATAAAGTCTTGGAAAAATAAAAGGAAAAATAGATAGAATACAGGTGTACTGTATGTGGTTTACACACAAATATTCATCAAACTGTGTGATAGTTTGTTATAGCAATGAACAATTTGAGAGTATCGTATTGTTTAAGTCGATGGAAAATCTCTGTTGATCCTGTTTTACAAGCAAACCAAAAAGATACAGTAGTCACCACTCTATACGACATATTCTAACCAGAAAATTGTAATCGTATGATTCTATAAGCATTGGTAGGATTGCAAAGTACTACACAAACATTATTACAAGGGTAATAACAGTCACAATTTCCGCTGACTTTAAAAGAGTCAACTAAACTATTATACTAATGGACACACAACTAAATGGAACAACTAATGGAAATTCTCAC